TAACTGAGTATTTGATCTTTTGTAAGAATAAAAATGATTCAAACGATGCTACACTATCATTCAACGAGAGCACAAAAAATCACAAGGATCCTCAAGACTGCAACAAAGACAACAGAAGAAGATACATGTATCAAATACCTGAGAATCCAAGCTTTTTTATCTATGCTAAGAAGTAGTCTTTAAAAGCCTATGCGATTGATTTGATTGACCGTTATTTATCGGTCAGCGCATTGGTATTCCTTTATCACACAGTAAAAAGTCCAAATTCCTTCCGGGGTGTGCGTAGAGTATATCAGAGAAAATAGCACGGCTTCGAAAGCCTGTCAGCCAATCAGATTTCAGGACCGGAACTATCCATTTTATAAAGTATTAATATAGTAGGCAACATTATTCACAGATTAACTCTTGTGTTTAAACAGAATATTTTTGATGGTATAAATTTGATATGTTTCTCATATAAACGCAATAATTGTCACGTATAAACGAGTTATTTTTTCTCTCTCTGTGGTGTTAATAAGCTTCCGTAGTTGCTAACTAATATATTACTTTACTGATTCAGACTAATTATCTTGGTTTGTTATGCTACTGTATATGATTTTGGTTTTGATTTGGGTTCTAGAAGCATGAGCTTTGTGTCTTAGTAACAAAGGTAAATTGTTTTTCCCAGCACTGTCTTAATTTATAATCCATAACTGTTGATAAGCAAAGACTGCTCTGTATTAATACTTAGATATAATGTAGAGGACTACAGTAACTGCCCAACTCACGTGAGGAAAGAACTCAGATAAAAACACACAAAAGAACTTTTACAGTTTTACAGTTTACAGATCTCACCCTGCACACATTTTATGTGAGAAAAAGAGAGTTAAAAAGTGGAGTTAAGGTGGAAAGCACAATCCTAACTACTGTACTGTATTATATTAACCCCTGAAAAGATGCAGCAAGGAAAATGAGCGCTACATGAATAATAATACTGGAGTAAGCTTTATCATTAAAAGGGCTAGCTAGAAAGATTCTGGGAAATACAGCTATGTGTACAGCCAATCAAATCTACATAGTAGAGGCCATGTGAGTGTGAAAATCAGAAAATCCCTCAGGTGATGGGAAAGGTCATCCCATTTTTTTGAAATGTACTTAAAATATCACTTTTCACTGACATGGTACTCTTGCTGTTCTAGTTCATGGCACCCTTGCTTTAAAGAGTGCTTCAGTGCTGTCTTAGAAAATTGTATTTTTCTCTCCTAATGAAATTGTAATACACATGTACCGTACATACAGTAAATAAATACAGTATCTTTTGATATCCTTACATGATCCTCAGACAAAAAAAAAGTAACCTGGATTATTTTAAAATCCCATTAAAATGAAAATCTATGTACATCCAGGTGTTTTTCTGTCAGGTAGTAAATTCCAAAAGAAATTAGAGATTAAATTAAAGAACATACTTATTCATTATAAATATTTTTTTAATTAAGAATATGTTACATTGCATTATTGTACTTGTTTCTCACATTTTCAGGCAGTGATCAGCACCCACTCAAATTAGAGTGATTGAGATAAATGCTTTTGCTTATTAGTGAATACGAATGTTGGTGCTGCAAAAGAAGATGCAGTAAATGTGTCATGAATATGCTTCAGTGTTCTTAATGCTTATAATTTATTTCTTTCAGAAAACATCTCTCCTGCAAAACTTTTTTTCAAAGAGACAGCAGTGAAAGAAGGGGATCAAGTGGAATTCAAATGTAAAATATCTGACATGAAATACAGAAACTTCTCCACCACACACTTCTATCTCTGCAAAGACGGAGTAGGGACAATTCTAAAATGGGGAAAATATTCTACTGGAGTCACTTTTGTCATTGTAAATGCCAGCAGGGCAGACACTGGTAATTACAGCTGTGTGTACAGCCATGAAAAACTGCCTCCTAGCAATGTGACTAAGCCAGAAGGACAAAATTTTGTCTTTCTTCAAGTGGTCGGTAAGGCCTGTTATTTTGTTACACTAACAAAGCTGTAATGCAGTAAAGTGTGATTCTGTAAGCAGCTCTTCCAATGTAGTAGTAGTAGTAATAATAATAATAATAATAATAATGTTTCTTTATTAGCCCTATACAATTTCTTGCATTAGGAATTCGTCTTTTCGCATACCCCAGCTTTTCTCCATGGAGACACAGACACACAGACAGGGAGAGAAGCTTGGGGTCAGAGCGCAGGGTCTACCATTGTACGGCACCCCTGGAGCAGTTGGGGTTAAGGGTCTTGCTCAGGGGCCCAATGGAGTAGGATTCCTCTGCCGGTTGCGGGATTTGAACTGGCAACCTTCCAGTCACAGGCACAGAGCCTTAGCCACAGTAATTCTGTAAGAAAAATGTATTCAGCCTACCACTGTTTGTCCCTTTCCTATACACTAAATAGTTCTCAGCACCCTTCTTTTTGAAGGATTCCAGCACTTCACATCTTCACATCTTGTATCGTCACAAAATTGTTTATCACGTTTCCAGTTCACTTCATTTGAAATAACTACAGGAATTGTATTTTTATTTCTTTCTCTAATTTCCTAATTTGTTTCCTTTACTTTTTAAAACCCCCTTTTGATTTTTGTTCTTCACTGACACTGAAAGGACAAGTTGAGAAACTTGGAGTTCTTTCGATCTGGGTCACGTTTAAACCTTGGAGTGAGTCTTGTTGCTCCTCTCTGATCTTTTCTAAGGCTTCTTTATCGCTGCTTTAATGTGGAGAACAGAAGTGTATGTAGCAATCCAGATGTGGTCGCACTACAGCATTTTACATTTTCGGCATAACAACTAATCATTTATATGACCTTCTGTTGTGTCTTATATTTATGTTCTATTCTGCCCATTAATCAGACATTGAGAGAAATGAAGGTACTACAACCCATAAAGTTCCCTTATGTTTAGTTTTCTAATTCTTGAATTAAATTTCTGTGACCTTCATACAATATGTAAAATTTAATACAGTACTATTAATTTCATTGGCCATTTAAGTTCTGAACCTCAATTAAATAAATCTGTTTTGATTTAATTGGACAGCATGCTGGCAATGTAGTGATCATTGCTTTCTCACAAACCTCAGTCAGACGTTTGATTTTAATATTGGTAGCTGCTATTTGGGATCAGAATGTTCTCCCTGTCTTGAGTTTTATCTGGGTACTTTTGTTTTTCCCCATCTTCCAGACACATGCAGGATAGGTTTGATTGAGATCTATAAATTGTTTGATTCCAGGTCCCCTTGAGGAAGTGAACTGTGAGTAATGAAATGAGCCAGATTCATTACTCTGCTCTGTCAAGAGTAGCTCTGGTGCTTTTCTGCCCATTGCTCAGAATTGAATATGAGCTGCATGCATGAATACATGGACCTAATTACATCCTGGATGTTAGCTATTTCCCTCAACTTCATATCATCAGCAAATTTAATCACTAATTTGCTCCTGACACCCAGATTTATTTTAATATAGAGCAATGGATTCAGTTTTGAACCCTATGCGACTCCACTTCCAACAAAGCATGGTTATTCTCTTCTTTTATTTCCCTCAGTCCTCTGGTGGAACCTGTTGTGAATCAATCTTCAATGAACAACCTTAATTCTAATAGATTTGAGTTTTAAAAGTATTCAGTAAAAATTCATTTTCTGAAAATCCAGATACAAAAATGTATACATCCTGCATATGCTAGTATATTATGAGAATTTCAAAATGCATATTTTGATTTTTCCATGTGCTGAACCCCGAATAAGGGGTTTTCAAATACTGTATATATATATATCCATTACGACCATTGTATGCTCAGGTAAAATAATGCTATTATAAAACAAATTAACTCCTGTGGCATCAGCAAAGTTATTTTAAGATCTGTAAGGATCCACTATTAGAGAGTTTACATTGAGTGAGTTGACATCTGCTTTAGAGAGTGTGGGTTTTCTGAAGATCTTGATATTACAACTGAGTATACATTACTGATGGTCTACAGTGTAGTCATAATTTCTACCTTACAGAAGCATTAAAACACAGATAACATAAAGAAAACGCTTTAAAGGACTGGGGAGCACCAAAGTATGCTAACACATTACTTAACAAGATATCTACCAAAGTAACACCTCCTCAACCTGCCAAAGCCCTGTGTTTGTCTTCATAGTCACTTTCAAAATCAATCATCCTTGGCCACAAGGGGTAGCCAATGATGACAGGACTGGGTGAAATGTGAAGCTGGGCTTGTACTTTATCAATAGGCATCAGTTTGATTACTTTTCTTTCATCTTGTGAGATTTGTTCCCAGTCGGAGCCATCACATGGTTGAAACTATGATATACTGCAATTTACTGTACTTTTAAGCAATGAAGGTGTGTGGCACTTTATGAATGGTTTTCTACATATACCGGTATAGAACTATATAGCACTTTGTTAAGTGACATTTATTTTTAAAATACTATAAAATAGTATTTTATAGTATTTTAATGTATAATTTATATTATATACTTTTTTCATTGCTTCTGTAATTATTTCCAGCATTTCAACACTATATACTGTATACTGTTTATAACTTTGCTTTGTTTTATGTTTACACCTTTTAGAATTTGATTAATAATTTGATTAATTTAGTTATGCATTTTGAGTGTTTGTATATTTACAGTAGAAACTACAACCACACAGAAACTGATGGAGGTAACAGCATTAGTACTGTATGTATAAAATTATTCTCATTTTAAATATTAAACTAAGAACAAACAGCTAAACACTATTATATTTATTTAATGTTATGTAAGAAATAATATACACTTTATGGGGTGGAGAATAATTTCAATCTCATTTATTACTGTATTTCAGTGCTTTCTAATTAATCATTACTGTACAAGCATTTCAATACGCAATCTCTTATTATAGGACACAAACTTAAAAGAAGATGAATTAACAACTTCCAATATATATGGTAGAAATATTTCTCTTTATATTTTATTCTTCGTTTTATTCTGTTTTTATTATTTGTAGGAGAAAGGACAACCACAAAGCAACCAGTCAGTGACCTTTTGGGTTTGTATTGCTGCTTTTTACTGTAAGTTTAAGATTCATAAATTATATTGTACTGTTTAAAAATAGCATTTTTGCATGGAGTACATGGTACATTTTTTGTTTATCATTTACACAGTTATCTTGCAATTAAAATTTCCTTTACATTTTCAATGTGCAGAATAATGTATATTCTATTATTGCTCGTCTTCCTTCATTGCAAATAAAAATAAGTTTCTAAAGTCATTCTAAGTAAAAACATATACGTACTGTATACAATACAGATAGACATATATCAGAAACATTTCAAATATTGATTATATCATTCTCATATTTTAGCAGATAGCCAAGCACTGAGAGTGACTCTGTGTACTCTTGTTCCGTTGCTAATATTGTCAATATTGATAATCGTTTGGAAGTACAGGTGCCACTCAAAACAAGGTAGGCTAAATTTCAAGAATACTTTAATGTTTTTCTTTATTTAGGGGTTCTTTGGAAGGAAAATAATCTTTTTTTATATGTAGCTAATGTGTATTAATGCGACTAATAGTCAAAAGTATAAAAGTATAAAATAAGTAGTCAAAAAATACTTATTTTTTATGTCTGTTACCAGGGTGTACAAAAGTGGATAGCCAAAGGTGAGTTTGTTTAGTGTGAATGTTCATCAAAATGTTAAGAAACCTTCACAGTAAAATGTGAGAGGCCAACTTGCTGTTTGTATTTTTTCAGTCAGCTTAGGGATGAAGATGAAGTCAATTCTCACACATTGGATGCTTGTGTGAGAAGAGCATCTTGTAAGATTTTTTATTTTATTAGATCATTTGTATGCTGCAATTTTAAGCTTTTTTGCTGAATTATGTTTTTTTTCTCTTTTCATCTTTTTTATAAAGATACAGAAGGACTAAGAGCAGACCAACAATGGTAAGCAGATTTTGTTCATCTGAGAATTCACTATGGATGAAATCTGCCGGAAGAGGGAAATGTATCAGTTGGTCTATCTATCAAGAAGTCTTTAATGTGACAAATGAAGAACACAGTATCAGAGGGCAGTTGTCAATGCATGGGAAACCAGCACGATGATGAAAAAAGATTTTCTCCAGAAGTATCAAGTTATATCAGAAGTTAGTTAATGTTATGCTGTCTATGTTATTCTCTTTCAATTATTTGTTCCTGCATACGCTGCTCACATTTTAAAATAATTTCATATTTCATTTTTATTTCATATTAAGACCACTAATGTGACAATTACAATGTTAATACACAACATATATATTAAACTATGTTTGTATAATAGTGGCTTGATCTTATTAAATTGTTTTTTATTAAATGATGCATGCTTTTTGTGATTCTTTATTGGGGTCCATTAATACAAACAACACATTCTTACTGCTTGTTTTACTGCAGTGACATCCAAGAAACCTTAGGTGCATACTCTGAAATAATGGAGACCAATGGTGAGTAGGTACCAAGCCATTGAAAATAACAGTATTTTAAATTACTCGGACAATATACAGTACTATATGTACTGCAATAGCTGCAATAGGCTTGCATATTTTTTATTTTATAATTCTAAAATTTCTGTGCAGATAATTAATCTTTTACCAGATGCACACATCAAACTCATCCTCTTAAAATCTCACCTACTCATTCCTCCCCATTGTCTGACTTTTTCATCTTTGTCTAAACTGTCTTTCTTTCTCTGCCCCTAAACTACATGGCTTTATCCTAGATCCTTCTCTTTTCTACTCTCAGCACATTTCTTCTCTGGTATACTCCTGTTATCTGCCTAATCAATATGTATAATATCTGCTCCTAATCAACGAGTTTATCCACTCAGCTCCTCCTCAAAGCCCTTGTTTTCTATGCTCTGGAAAATTGTAAATGTCTAACAATCTAACCTCCTTGTATTCTGAATCTATCAGCTCTGACTCATGCAAAACCTCTGCTGAGCACTTTTCATCAGCTACTGTACTGTACCAGTCTCTGGCTGTATCCAATTAAAGATCAATTTACCAACCTGCCACTCACATCATCACTCTTCCCCTTTCCCTCTCAAATCCCTTATGTCTCTTTACTAAAGCCTCTGTGCTCATCTATAGCCAGCTATTTAGCTGCTCCTTTTCTTTCCTCTCCTTACCCTTGGATGCTCATTCTCCTCTAATGTTCCCTTGTGTTAGAGCTGTATACATGGGATCAAGACAGCACCATCTATGACCATGAGGAAGCTAAATACAGTGAAATTCCAGACTGCTGAGGTAGGTTGTCCTGTAATACAGATTTGGTATAAATGTATGTTTTGCACCAGTCGTGTTTTGTCTCACTAGATTGTCTTGGTTTTCACAGGACAAACAGTAGCCAGTAACAAATGTGAGTATGTAAAATGTAAAACATATCAACACAGCACAGCCTGTTTCAAAGATAAATTAATTGTCCCACAGGAAATGGAATACTCAAAAATCATACTGAACTATAAGTTTATATCTTTTGTTTTCACTAAATGTGTAAGTAAAAGAAAACAAAAAGGTTTAGGTTTTATACTCCTTTTGGTGAACTGCTTAGGTTAAAGGTCACTAATTGGATTTTCTGCCTCAAAAGTCCATGTTGTTTTCTGGATTTATTCTGGTTGAAAAAATATTTTACTTTCAAAAATAAAACTTTGCTCCTTTAGAGCACTGACTACACTTGAAATGGGCCTCTTTCTAAAAACATTTTTTCTTTCCAAGCCTTTCTCCAACAACCCTGCATCTAACAATGAAAAACACAACCTTTAATACAAACCGAACCCCATGTGACAAATCAAACAATTAATTCCAACCCATTAAATGTTCAATTAGCAATCAGTCAGAGGTGAATAACATACAATAGAAAAGAGTTTTGAGGGGTTTCTTTAGTGGCCACTAGTGGTGCTACCTTTGTCACTGTACCACTCAAGCAGAACATCTACCACATACCTACTGTATGTATCCAAAAATGACATACTAACATTGTGATTGTGCAACTCTGACATACTTAGAATCTCAGAACAAATAAACAACTCTTTATTGCCTTCACCTCAAACAAATACAAATAGAATTTTATGCCAGTATTTTTGATTACTGACAAATATCACTTTTTGGTAAATCCTCTCTCACACTTTTACAAGAATAAAGATTTTCAAAAACATGTAAAATACTGAAGATAGTAATAATGAGTAGTATACCTTCCAAGTTTGTGTCAATTGATGCTAGAAAACTCTATTTTATATTTTAATGTACTTTCAAGAAACTGAAAAACAACTGTTTTGCATTGATTGTGCCATGAAATAGAATGGTCTGGTATTTTGTGTCTGTCAGTATCACTTCACTCCATATGTTCTGAAGGTTTAAGGTTGCAAAGTAGCATTTTGGAACTACACCCAAATCTGTGTGAATTGCTTGTAAAAAACATTGTTTGTCTCTTGTAGCTTTGCATCTTTTCAATTTATTATTATTTTCAGATTTGGTGACCCAGCAGTTACCTGCTAGTTACTATGCAGACGAGGACATCCAAAAAAAAAAAGAGACCAGCATGAAGAAAACAGTACTTACACAAAACGAAACAACAATTTGTTTTCAATGAAGTTTTTTGTGACCTTGCATTAAAATGTTCTTTAGCGTGTACATATGTAAATATGTAAATAGAGAGGTCCAGTCACACAATGGAAATGGTTACAGGCTATAAGAATCATACTCTACAGACTACCATGATGAAGGCAAGAGATACACCAGTAGTGAAAAAACCTTTCAAGGAATCACATGGTTGGTTAACAAAATGTTGGATCCTATGAGAAATGTTTTGGACTCTGCATCCAGCTTGTTTTTGAATTTGCAATGATGTTGTCTCTAACATCACGTGTTCCCACATAGCTTTTACACACAATAGGCAAAACCTGGGTAACCTCACACATCTGCTTATATTAAAATTGTTTAAGGGTTGAGTTACACAATATTAAAATATTAACATAGGATTCAGAGCCTGAAAATAAACTGACAACTTAGGCAACTCAATGGCCATTCTTAGCAGACAAACCATAAGTGTATATGAGCCCTATTTATGTGCATCCACGTGCTGTATTCAAGTAAAACAAAAGCTTGTTGGGTTGCATTTTCATAAATATTGAAGATTCTTTATTTCAGTTGTATCTATTTAATGTTCTTTAATTGTAAATATCACTGATGAATGAGTGTTAGTTATCTCCAGGATCATCTTACACAGTTTCTTTGTTGTTTTTCCAGCTGAATCAATAATAAAATTATGACGAAATGTATCCCTCCAGAATGTTTTGCATTCTGTTTCGATGGCTTTGTCAATTTATTAGTCTTTGTCATTAATTTTATTATATATTAATATCAAATTGTATTATGGTCCTAAATATTAGAGCCACATATTTATTATTTTGCTTTAAGGTGAAACAAAGACTGGTGTAGCATGGAGGACACTTTTAAATCAGGCACAGTGATGAACCACAATTTCCCCCTATTATTTTCCTCTAAGGTGACTTCTATCCTAACAGAAACATTTATCTTATTGTGCTTTATCTATTCTTACCCAGTTCGGGAACCCACTTTCCAGCCGCAGAGCACAGTTAGTCTCACAATCGCACGTCACCTCTGAACTGCGTGGTTATTAACTAGTGTGTGCACAGGGGGGAGTTTAGATCAATGGGAAGCTCGAAGGACAAAGAATAGACAATTGCACCAACCCTTTCTTTGCAAAGCAGAAACACCTGTTGTCACAAATCCAATTTTTCACTCTGTGACACAACCAAAACACCCAAGAATTAAGTGTGCTGAAAAATGTGTGTTGAATGTTTAAGTCATGGTAAATTTAGCTTAACCTTATCCATTCCCTCCCCTAAAACTGAAGTCAAGATCAATGACCTCCTGGAATGGATGTGCCTTTTAATATCTAGAATTACCTTGGTAACTACGCACAGTACAGACCTGGTTTGGGTCTTGAATTTAAAAAAAAAACCCTTGGAAATCCTGTCTGAACCTTAAGATATTTTAGATGTCTTTTGGAGTACACAGAAATATCAAGAACAAAACAAAAACAGGAAAAAAAATACAGACGCATTTTATTGTCTTTCTTCAAAAGTCAAATTCTCAAGTTGTGGGACACTTAGGATGTAAATTTCTTTTTTTTACAGTAGGTCTTCTCTAAAATGTCTCCTACCATAGAAAAAACGTTTCCATGAAAGATTTGAAAGCGACTGAACAAGCATAAAAAATCTGTACGATTGTTTTATGAAGATGTGGCATGAATTAGTTTTCTCAGCCTTCCAAAAAAATAATAAAAATAATGAAAATACATTTTTAGTACAGTATTTCAATACTGCCTGCCCTAGAGAGGCTTTTTAATAATGTTGACAGTTTTTATAGTGTTTTTACACTTTTTAAAGGTTTGTGCACCTTTCTGATTTTTGTACGTATAATAAACAGGTTTAGTAAAATTAAACAACCGTGCATGCATACTATTTAGAGGAGGGTTTAAATCTCTGAATGGTCAGATTTCACTGAATGATAACTATTGTAACCTACCAGATGAGCTTTTTTTCTAGAGCCGGTCGGTTTGAAAGTATAGGGCTTCAGAAGCCATCTTTGTTGCAGAATGTTTTGTTTTGGGGAACTCGTGGTATTAAATGGTAAAATATTAAAATGAATGCACTTTTTTGTCAAGGTAAGGTCAAATGTTCTTTATGTATTATAGGACATGTTTGCTTTTGCTCGTGTATTTTACTGAAGAAATGCTACTTTTTAGATTGGAACGTTCTGGAAGCGAGCTGCCCCCCAACTTCAACGGATTCACTTCACCTTTTTACCTTTTGTATAAAGAGGTTTACCTTTTGTATAAATAGGGGACCGCCCCCCTTCTTCCTGTATTCATACTCGCGCCAGACCCCCGATACTATAGAGCAGTTGGATCTGTACCATTCCGTGCTTTTAGTTTACTACCTGTTTTTCCACCCACATATAGCACTCCTGTGTATTATTAAAGGGAATAAATATGTGGGCTGCATTGCACTTCTGCTCCTCTTTTTGGAAACATTTTCCTGCTTCTCTAAACCGATGAATAAAACCATGGGAAAAAAAAGGTTGATTTATGCCGATGGATCTAGTTACGAAACAGCTCTGAAAAGCACATGTTGTCTTGTATTTTGTATTAGTGTATAGCATGTGATGTTGTGTTTTGATTTTGTTGGTAAAAATATTAAGCGGTTGTGCAGCTTCTGTCTAAGGTTATCATTATTACAGTATTAATTTCTTTATTACTAAAGTTAATAGTGTTTTGCAGTGAAAAACGTAATGGTCGAGTTTGGAAAATATTCAAGATCAGTTGTTATTTGTAATGTTTTGATGAACGATTACAAAATGTTTTTAATAACGAAAAGTGTCGCGTTGAAAGCAAATACACGCGATTAGGCAGCTACTGTATGTCTAGTTGGAGGTGGATAATTTGAATTTGCTTGGCTGAGGGCTAACATCCTGGCCATAGGACAAGGAAGCTGAGAATCCTCTGCAGAGTGAGGAGTGGACCAACATAGAGATGGGGCGGAGGAGGGATGCAAAGGAGAAAAAAAAGGCTTACATATAGTATTTATATTTTTAAATAAAATTGCATCTTAAAATAACAATTAGGACACTTGAGATTGGCTGTTATCATACCCCCAGACGTTTTATTGTAAACTCAACTAAATATTTACATTCTTATGATGGATGGTGAGTAGATTGATCTAGTTCATCCAAGAAAGGGGATTAGAATTAAGTGTTACTGATGAAAGCCAAAGGTCTCTGAGGCACGTATTGTATGAATAACATAACAACCACTGAAGTAGTCATTCTGTGATTATGGATCAAAATACTGTATGTCATCACAACAGAATCTGATAAATGAACACCTCATGAATTATGGGCATCCTTTCAGATTTTACAAAACAATGTGGTGTTGTCAGTGCCATGTTCCCATGATATGTAGTGCAGGGTAGAAACTGTTATTTATTTATTATTAAGGACAGCTCTGTAACAGACTGGGTGCTTCGATGAGTTTAACCATATAGAATCAGATTTTCTATTACATTATAGGCTCTGCCTTTAAGTATTGAAAATCTATGGATAATCAATACATTTCACTGTCAATTGGCAGACGGGGAAATAATTAAATGAAAACTCTGCAAGCTTCAAACAAATGAGACTTACAGTACAGTAGGTGTTCCCAAATAAAGCACTGAATATACACCGGGCTCAAAGCTGAGGATGCTGTGTGCTTGTGATGCATCTGCAAAGGAGGGAAGGAGAAGGGGAGGGCTTGTATTGTAGAGAAGTGTCTGCTCATTTGCTAGTGCTGAAGCAGCCTGGAATGGTTGCTTAGGAAGCTGGCTGACTGACTGACTGACAGTCAAATCTTTAGGCATGTATAATAGTGTCTACCCTCTGGCTGCCAGTTGCCTCCCCTGAGGTTAGGGGAGTGTGTCAGATGGACAGAGGAGGGATGGAAGGAGGGGGGAGGCAGCCTGTGTCTGTACACTGTAGTCTTGCTGTTATGTGCACACAGCAGACAAGCTGTACCGTGTTTATGGATGCCGAACAACACTGCTGGGTCTCTCTCCTCCTCTCCCTCGCTGTCTGAGGAACTACTAACATGATGAGAGCAGACAGGAGAATCGTGATGCTGCTGACATTCCTCTGTTATTCCTGCTACCTGTGCAGCTCCCTAGGTAAGTCTGTCTTACAGTACAGTACCTGCCTCCGTATCTCCCTGCTCTCACTCCGCGGAGAGTGTGAGGGAAAGGAAACAGTGGTGCACTTACAGGTCAGCAGAGATACAATCACAGATTGAGAGAGCCAGTCCTGTTGCACACAAGGCAGCAGATAGAAGTTAGATTCTATTAAATGACTGTAGAATACATTTTCTAATAATCAGATGAATTTAACAAATACTCAGAAAAGAAACAATGGGTGAAATCAGCATTCTATCCTGACTTCAGTTTGACCTATATCTTTGTTTTATTTAATTGCTTTGACAGAAGTTTACTGGCAGATAATGTAGGTGAAATGTCTTGGGGGGCCTTTTGTGTGAAAAAGCTAATGGTATTGTAAGAGGCTCTCCCAACAAATGTGTACAAATATTGACAACACACTGGGGGAATCAACAGAACTGGAAACGGACATTTAAAATAGTTGTCATATGAAGTTTTCAGAATGTTTGAAATAATATAAAGATTAGGGACTGACTTAACCCTGTAAAGAATGTCGAATGCTTTTGTTATTAGATATTTTTTTTACATTCATAAAAAATACAATTAGAATTGCACTGGAAAATCTTGATGCAGATAACTGCATTTTAAAGAACTGTAAGAGCACTCATTTTCTTTATTGATCATTGTAGTTTATACTTTTGTGCATTTTTCATAATGTTCAAGATATCATCTGTAAATATACAGTAAATTAAACTGAAAATAAGGTCTTCTAGGTTTTGAAACCTCTCCAATTGTAGTGTCAGGAAAGAAAAGTATTATGGAGTAGTATTTATTTATATTTACACACTTTAGCAGTATATACAATGAACATTAATTTGAAAATCTATTAGGAAGTTGTAAAATGGTCCCTAAATATTTTTTAAAATGCTCTGAAATTGCTCCCTAAACTTTTTGGGATATGTTCATCTGATCATAACAGTATCCAAACAATAGGAGAAATAACAACAACAACAAAAAAATATATCATTTTGTTTTATTAGCATTAGCAGTAACTGACATGACATGTTGCTGTGACATATTATTTAACATGTAACACTGTAACATGTTGCTGAAATTGAATAACTAAATATTTATGGGAGAATGTTGAGGAACTGTCTACAAGTGTTGAAGCAATTTCCACTCTCTGAAGGCAAGAAGAGTATTCAGAAATGTTATTGCTCCTTTTGTAAACACATTGTGGGCAGTTAACAGTGTGAGTTTGTACTACTGTATGTAGATATATCTGTGGAAGGAAACTTGAGCAGGTTTTTCATTAACAGAGGTTATTAGAAACCAAATGAAATCAAATTAGAAACCACATACACAGTGTGTTATGTATTTAACGTTTGAGAGTTTTGCCATACTTAATTTCATATGGTACTGGAGACATCTTTTCAAGATGTCCCAGATGAAACCATACACATTTATTGAAAGACTGCCTTGGCATTTTTAGTAAAGATCCCACAAGGCCTTGAAATAGCAAACAAAAAATAGAAATCAAAAACATCTGGGGCTTAGAATATTAGTGAGGTTAGTGGACAATGTTTATTTGGTTAAAAATACAATATCTGTCCTTAATTTCTTTTAAATCTGTTCCGTACATTAGAAATAAGTGCTTCATTGCACTGTTTCAGTTTCTTTTTTAATGATTTATTCTGAATTAGAAAAGGGAGGCATGGAGGCAGAAAATTATTTTTAAATCGATTATGTGAATTTTGTACGAAGGTGGAGTTTCTGCGAACAAGAATGTAATGAAAGGGTCACTAAAATGGTAATATGCTTATTTTTCTCACAGCACAAAGGTTTCATCTATAGCCAATGCTCGTTTCATATTTGCCTCTCCTAATAGAGGGCAAAGCTTTTCCAGCTGCAGGACTGAAATACTGTAGATGATATTTTGAAAGTATTAGGCAGCCAGCAACTGTAGCCTTGTGCACTGACTTATACATGTTTTATTTATTCAGAATTTCTCTCAGCCCTCATCTTTCCAAGGGTCATTACAACACAATTTCAGCAAGGAGTTTGCAGTGAGGCTGATTTTTAAATCCCCCAGTAACAGAATAATTAATGATAATATTCCCATTTGAATCCTGGGGCTTTTCCATAATCGGTATGTACCAAAACAACTGTATACAAGACAGATAAAATAAAAAGCTATAGATATGTTTTTTGACTCCATACAGTATATAATAGTTCATAAGGATGTTATTTAAGAAGTCTTGTCACAAAGGATACTTGTACTATATTAATTATATTAATTAATTATATTAATTATATATAAAGTAAAAATATATATAGTATAACATTTTTAGATAGCAGCCTTATACTTCAGCCTTATATTTACTCTATACAACATTATCCAATGTTGTGTAATAAAAAAGTTCCTTTTTGATATGGGCATCCTTTCAGATTTTACAACACCAAATCTCAAACATTTTGTTCAGCTGTACTTTGAAAATTACCCAAACTAAAGACATAAAAATGACAGTGGGACTAACAGGACCCATTGCTTTTGAGGATAAGAGTTAATCCCACAGCAAATGGCAGAAGTACAAAACCTTCCTATTTCTATGTTTCTGGAAACAGAACGAACTTAATTTACCAATTTCTTTACAACATATAAAGTCAGTTTTATCTAATGCATACTCTTTTTTCTTTATTATTACTCTGTACATTGGATTTTTAGTCAAATTATTGACTATTAAAATCCTAATGATCATGACTGCTGGACTTCTGTAGCTACTACGCTTTTCTTGGTTTGAGAATAAATTAAATTTCTAACACAACAAAAGAGACTTAAAAACTAATAATTCAAAATAATGCAGTCCTTTAAGATAAGAGAATATGTTTGACACCGAGGTAAAATAGAAGAACTGATCAGTGCTTATATAGTTATTTCACAAAAATCTGGGAATATATCTGTCACAAATCTGCGATTATATCTTCCTTGCGGAAACAAACCCTTCAACACAACTAAATTGGATCTTTAGAATCCCATCTTCTTTAGGTTAAGGTTTTGCGTATTTGAAGAATACAAGGTAGTTAAAAATATTCCAGAAGGAAAGGCATTGCCCAATACTCTCTAAAACAGCAGAGACTTCTTGCCCCCCTAAAATAAATTCTTATACAGAAATTAGAAATCTTTTTAGGCTAAATGAACATTTACTTGTGACCCTGTGTTTATTTCAGACTGCTGACTGTCTGAAGTTAAGTTAATCAGGGAAAGGTTGTTGGTGTTGATGGCCACATGTGGACTATGCTCTGGGTAGAGATGGCACCTTCTCATAACCAGGATTAACCAGCAACAGGATTAAGACAGCTGACTTTAAAATAGATGGTATAGTGAAGGAGTGTTAAAATAAAGGCTGAGGGTAGAGTTGAGGTAAAATTCACAGCCCCCGCTCCTCAAAACAAATACTTCATGTAATAACATATTTAATACCAGATTGTTTCAGGTTACAACTGTGCCACCACCATTTCTTAATGCTGTAATTGAAGAAAAAATCACAAGCAGAAAGAAAAGAAATACATATGAAGAATTCTAGTTTTGATGTTTAGTCTTTTCCTGCCTCTTCCTGTTTTTTTTATGCTTATATTCCACACATTCTATAGGCATTATAAATGAACTCTGTTTCTTATTTGTAAAGCCAAGATCAACTATGAAAATCATGAACAGTACATTGCACAAATAGTAAAAGAGAGACAGGTGGCACTTCTTTTTTTATTCCTGAGCAGGAATCGAGGCTATAGCTAGAAGTGGGTTTAGACAGATGATTCAAATGAAGAATAGGCAGCAGCTCACAGAATTCCTTGCTAGCAGGTGTAAATTAATTGCAAAGTGAACATGAGAGTCAAGAAGCATAATGACACTACCATACTTTGGTTTGTACAGGTTGGACATTGGTTCTTTGTGTTCAGCAAATCCAATCAAGACCCCCAAGGAACAACCAAGAGACGTGCTGTCAATAAAATCTTGATTAATTAGTCTTTTAGTGGGGCATAGTTAATCATCATTGTTAAGAATAAAGTAATAAAGAATTTTTCAGTTCGTTGGTAAATAGGTTCTGTTACTGAACCATGATATATACTAATGAATGAAAATTTGTAGTCCATAGATTTTTTAATTATTTTTATTTTTTTAGAGGAAGCCTTTATTACAACCAGCTTTCTCATGCAGTCATACATCTTTGTAAAGGAACAAGTAATAGGTTTATTCCATGCTGAAAAAAAAGAAGAGAGAAAACAGAACGTTTCGGCCGTGGAGCCTTCTGACACAGCTACCCACCTGAACTAATACATCTTTGTACTTTATTATACATCATTAGCTTTACAATTTTTATTACAAAAAATCAATATTGTCACTTTTCCCAGAAACATTAACATATAATTAGTCTGTCCCTTGATGGGTGCAATTTCTATAAAATATCAATTTATATCAAATAAACATGGCGAGATTTCCTAATGTGCTATCAGGTTTTGTGCCAAACAATACCATTACTGTTCAGTGAAACTTCAGCAAAATTACAATCTGATCTATACATTTTATTTAGCCTCACTCTTTTCAAGAGAAACCTGAAATCTGATATTATTTTTTTTAGAAAAAATTAAGATAGTAAATACTACCATAATACAACTTATTTTATATTTTGCCTTAGATTTGGTTAGCAGTTTTAATTTGAGACAGAAAAAAAATACATTCATTTAAAAATATTTTTGACTATTTAAATGTGAAGTCTGTAGTTTAAATGTTTAATATGTAGTTTAAAACTACAAACCCTGGTTAAATGAACTTTTAACTAAAAATGTCAAACCTTTAACAAAAGTGGAAAAATACAAACACAATTGTGAAACAAAACTAACTAATCTAAAAAAAACATGGCACGATCCAAAGTTAATAATAGCCAGGGCTGTTGCTTGGCATGATCTGTTCTTTTAACTTCTTAAACTTTCAGTGAGCTGTCAGTTTTTTCCTGCTTGACTACAAATGAGGGGCTGTCAGTACTGTCTTTGCTTGTTAGTAAATTGCACCAGAAAGCACATCACATCTTTCTCTCTGTTGACACAGAGCTGCACTGTGATTGATCCCAGATTTCATGTCCTGAGGTTAGAAGGTCAGGGCAGAGCAATTGACAGACAGGCTGACTATGGGAAACAGACTTGACTCCTCCATAAAGGACTCTGAAAGAAGGATAAGCCGAAGACAACACTAAACTCTTTCCTCCCATTTACTTTAATATAGTTATAGTGATGAGCTGCAGTGTGACTAATAAATAAATTAAAGGTAATGTATTTCATATAGTAAAAACAGTCACAGTGTAAAATAAGAGACACCTTTTAGGGATGTAATAATTATGCATGAATTATTTACTGTCAGAACACATGATAGACACCCCCATAAAAAGGCTGGCTTGGTACTTATCACCTTTCATCAGCAGTAATGAATTAACCACACACCTGAAGAAGGCTCTGAGTAGAATAGAGGAGTTTATTGCCATATGTACATGTACATTGGAATTCTTATTTGTGTTGATCTTTTGGGACATACACAGTATAGCAGACAACACCACACAATTTAGACAGTACATTACTACATAATAATATAACCATAACAATTTATATTTTGTAGATATAAATTGTGGCTCTGTTGCCAAAATTAAATGATATTCTTATTTCTTCATCCTTTATAGTAACAAATTTGCCTCTACGTGTTCCAAATTAAAACATACCCTTCCTTCTATTACAATGAATAAGGCATGTACAGTATTTGTGTTTACTAGCGCCAAACGATGTTTCAGTAATGATTTAGTAATGCATACATTACAGGTGTCACCTCTTAAGAGTTACTGTACTCTAAATCATTTATAAAACATGTAAATACACAAGAGAAAAGTATTGAAGATTTGTTTTTCAGATTTTTGAACAGACTGGGGTGAGTTTCCAGAAAGCATCGTAGCGCTAAGAACGTCGTAAACTCGCTCTTAAAATAGATCGTTAATTAACGAGTGTTTCCCAAAACCTATCGTAACTAAAGTAGAACGTTAAATCCTTCGTAATCTACGTGCTCCCCGACCCACTCGTTAATTACTAAGTGCTTCTTAAACTGGCTACCTCTTGC